TGCGAACAGCCATCAACTTTTTGCCATTGTTCCGCCCATGCATCATAAGGGAATTGGTCAGCCTCTCCACAATGGGGCACTGGGACTTCCTAAACCGCTTGGCTTGGTACCTGCCAGCAGTGTGAGGCATATAGGTTGGATGGTTTGATGCTGTTGCAGTAATGTAATCCTGCACGGATATGTCACTGACCTGTACAAGACCACAAAGGTGGTTAGAATAATACTCAACTCTGCAAAATTTAAAGGAGGGATGAGCAATTTGATGTATAGTAACATGGGATCAAGTAGAACATCATAAAGACTGCTTGATCAAGTAAGTTAGTGGGGCTAAAGTATGGACAATAGATCAATCACACACAAATATGGATCTTTTTCAGGAAAATAAAGTTAAACATCATTACGAAGGATAAGAAATGGATCAACTAATGAAAACTCAAATAGAGAAATACAACTGCATGAACCCATTAATCCATGTTTTCGGACTGCTAAAAAACAATACTTAGGCAATATGGAAGCAAAGTAATTAAATCCCTTCAATTGCACACCCATGCATACTTCTCTTTACAAAAATCCCAATCTAGGCTTCATTGGTATGGTGCTCAAGTCGTAGTTCTTTCTGAAACCTTTATCTAGATTGCTTTAGCTAGTATATGAAATTATATATAATAGTAAATTCATAAACACAGTCAATTACTATTTTTTTGCTCGATTTCCTATTATCTAAAGTTATATATAACTATACATCCATGCACACGTAATTAATATTTATTTAACATCTTTGATACATGTTCCAAAGCGAATCAATCTAGAGTTTGCATTACAATTTGGGGTTTGGACATTAAAGTGATCTGGATCAAGAACCCAACTCATTGGGGTTGCCAAATCTAGAACGTGGGTCATTGTAATTGTATCAAACGTAACACTGACTACAACCAACTTGTCAGATTATTAGCTAGCCATGTCTGTCAGAGTATTAGATAATTAGTCCAACAATAGTAATTATGAAAAATCGAACAGGTTTCACACTAACAGTTATGGCGAATGTTTCCACATGACTTATTAATTAAAAAGCAAAGAAAAAAAGAAAGAACAGCAATTCAGATTAACAACGAATGAAAAATTGGTACATGTAGTGGTATAAACACAGGCGCTTACAAAAAAGAGACAATGCCGAAACATTTTATTAAAATTTTGAGGCAATGAAATTTAAAGTAGTGTCAAACCTGTGTAACCTAGCAAACAATAAATCTATAGCAACCAATTTTTATAACTCACAAATCAATAGATCTAGGCCATTTTGTTTGAAATCAATTTGTTTAGATTGCAAAATTCACACCGAAGTTGGTCATTCACACTATTATAATATAGTATACAATGACATAGTGAACTTGTAGCAGCCTTGGACCATGAGATCGAAGTGTAAATATATGTGTCTGGCTGTTATTTATCGCAATCAAGCACTTGAACTAAGAAATTCACCCTTTAACGATTTACCAAACATGTTGTAACCAAAACAAGAGCACAAGCAGAAAAAATGCAACACAAACCCACATTAGAAAAATGATCTGAAGAAAACATCCCAAGTGCAACCTCTCTGAGCATTAAAGCATAAACTTCACATTACGGTCATATCACACAGTTGTGGTACACCAAGCGCTACAGCAGATATCACTGAGCTAAAACAGTGACAACACAAATCAATGTAAAATAAGAGATACTGCAAATAAGTTCAAAACACTTGCAAACTATAGGTAGTAAATGACTTCTTCAAATTCTTTAAATAGATTATTAGTTGATCATAAAAATTCCATGATACTTCACACAACAGCACACACTAATATTTCATTGATTCCCATGTAATGTCAATTTATGTTAAACATATTACACGCAGAAAATAAAATATCCAGAAAGTTAGGAGCCTAACAACACCATCAGATCTCCACACGATGCAGATATAGTGCATAACAAAGATAAACGCAATCTGCTTATAGTTAGTAAAAGATTGATTAGCCAACAAATATACCTCCATTTGGTAGGGCTTTCATCCACATTCGTACTTTATTTTCAATGATTCATTTATTTCTTAATTTTTTTTATTCGACATGTTTTTATTCGCTCCCTTTTCTAATCACTCCTTCATAAATAGCACATGAAAATTACACACATTTTCAAAGATTCTCTAAATTATTTCGTCTCAACAAATCAGATAACTAAATTGCTTAGTCTTTATATATACAATGCATATAAGCTCAAAGAAAATGAAAGAAAGCAAATTACCACCAGATATAAATATAATAGATCTGAAGAAAATATAAACCCAAGGAGAAAAATAGCATGAAATGCAGAAAATAGAACTGTGAATTAACTAAGTTGTAAAGAGCGATCAGACGAAAAGAAAGCTAGAGAAAGAGAGAATGAACTTGAACGTCGTCATAGGACCACCGGTTGAAAAGCATCACAGCGCTATGAATCTTGTCGTCATTCTGGATGGTAGAAGTAATAACAGCAGAATCCATTGCTTCTTCAACTCTTCGATACACACCTGCAAAATCGATAAATACATACACCAATGTTATACAAACACACATATAAACGTATATGCTCAATATACATAGAGAGAGAGAGAGAGAGAGAGAGAGACCTTCACCTGGACAGAGGGAGTGCGGAGGCAGCCGTGTCGAAGCCCCAAAGGAAGAAGATGGAAGAGATGAACTAAACCCTAGTAGGGGCAATAAAAAGAGCGAGCTTTTGGACTTTTAGTTGTCATAAATGACCTTTTCTTTTATCACAAATTACATATGCCCCTCTTTTTCGAGTGGTCTTTGACTTGGATTGATCTTTTGAGCCATATTGGGCCGCAAGAGCCCATGGTCCAACTAACGCCTTCAGTCATTGTTTACTTTTTTTTTTTTTTTAAACCCCTTTTTATCCTCCCTAAATTACAACAATAAATAATAATTGATTGAAAATTTCAGATTTTTGCTTTCTTAGATAGGAAATTTAAGTTTGTCAACAAAACTTCGCCGTTGTCAAATAGTGTTTGGATTAAAAAGAAAACGGGAGGATCCTCACAATTCAAAGAGAACTGAAAGATCCTCTAATTCTTAAGAAATTAGAGGAGAATCGAACCCGTATAACTATCCAGAATTATTAAAAAAATAGATATAAACCAAATAATTCTAGTATTCTATTGCTTAATACTCTCTTAAGCTACATGCCTAATGTACTCCATTTCTGATACCCATACGTATCATTCTCATTCTCCCTAACACCAAGTCATGCAACTTATCACGTTGACATTGGTTTCCTGGGACCTCGACGAGCTTGGATTTAGCAAAACAGAATTGATTGAGTGATAGAGTTGAGGAAATGTCAAATATTTTCATATATCTGTCAAAATAAACGTCCAATAACAAATGTGATTTTAATCCTCTCAAAAATTCATCCCACTGCTGTGGCCAAATCAGTGATTTTATATATTTTTTTTTTTGTAACCAACTGAAAGCCTAAACTCAGTTGTGCCCAAAAATTCTTAGAACAAACATGTAAATAGATCTCAATAGTTACGAGATGACCATTCCGAAAATATTAGGTGTTGGATAAGAGCAATTGGTTTTCTTCTTGCAATCGTTCACACATTTTCCCTTAAAGCTAAAGAGACTTATTTATTTAACCTTTTTTGTGCTTTCCTCTCACCAGAAAAGGAGATGAGAGATAGCCAAATAGAGTCAAATGTCAGGCCGTCGATCTGGTAAGGATTATATTCTGGTTCAACTAGGTCTTCTTTAAGGTACCGTTTAATAAATAAGTGGATCCGACATGATTAATAAACAAATTAATTATGAATAAACTCAATTAAAAAAAAATACAAAACACAACTCATTTATATATCAATTATATATAATTCATATACGATACAAACACAATTCGTCAAACACAAATTAAAAAACAAATCGAGTATAAATATTACGCTAAGATTCAATATAAACCCGCCCCCACCCAACACAATTGACAGCACATACTTCTAACCATCAAACGAGTTTCACAAGTCTTGCTCGCCCATTTGAACTTGGGGCAATCAATTTAGTTAAGAAGGTGAAGTAAGCCCAAAGAATAGACTTCTGGTTAAACATCATCTCAGATCTTCAATTCAATTGCTTCAACATTAGAAACATGGATTTGACTACAACGGGTAAAAAAAAAAAAAAACAAATCCCATACGTTTACCACAATTGTGGTACCCAAAAATATGGTAAAAAGAATTACTACAAATACGGTAAAAATGTTCATAAATGTGATAAATCACTCACAAAAATAAAAATGAAATTTTTTATACCCAAGAAAAAAGTCAAAATAATTACCCACAAATGTGATAAAAACACCTACAACAACAATAAATCAATCACAAAAATGGCAAATTTTTTGATTGTAAAATAACCCTCAAAAATTTTAAAACGCCTTTAAAATAATAAATTTTAAAAATATGATACCAAAACTTTTTTAACGGTACCATAGTCAAATCCCAAAAACATATGACAAATAACTAAACAAGTACAGTTCCTTACACTAGCCACCTTCAAAAGGAAGTCGGCTACCGAACTATGTGATGTCAGAACAGTTAAGTATTAACTAACTACACAGAACATTGCAACAAAACTGCCTAGGAACCAAACCCATCTAAAAAATAATATACATTTGAGTTGTAATTTTTTATATTTCATCTAGGTTTTGTAGTATTTTCCTTAAAATTGTATTCTCAGGAAGCTGCAAATTAATCAAACCGTATTAATGCATTAATGCTGATTCCGAGACATACAGGACTCAGATGCGTTCACCTTAATTGAAAACTCAAAAGAATCTCATACATGCTCATACTCGAACCAGTCATGTATGAAAACCCAAAAACAAAACAAAATGGGATAAGGGTTTGAAATGGAACAGTCTGACACAATAGCTAGCAATTAAACACCTTGAGGAGGCATTAAAACTCAAAAGAGCAATCACCGCAACCTTCTTGCCTCCCTCTCTGACTCAAGCAGAGTGAGAACGTCACCCTCCCTGACTGGTCCCTTCACATTTCTCATGATAAACCGGTTCTGGTCATCAATGAACTTAACTCTCACCTGAGTCACCTGCCCTCTGGATCCTGTACGACCCATAACTTTCACCACAATAGCGTGCTTGATCTGAGATTCCATTCTGCACGAAATAAAAGAAGGTTAAAAGGAAAATTCCATAAATTAACCACAACCCTCATGAGATGTGAACAGTTAGTAAGGAGGTGAGACATCCCATCACAAAACTCCCAAATGCATATACCCATGATCAAATATATATGCTGTACATAAAAAGAGTGATGAATACACAAAAGGCTGAGCCCCTTCTACCCAAAATTAGGGGCAGCAGACTCAACAACCACATGTTATTATAAAGAACAAACCGAAAAAACACCACAGAAATTCCTAAAAGAAACTCACAGTAGGGGTAACATCTATCCATGGAATATGCCACTCCAACTGTAGTATATCATGACAAAACTTTATAAAAAAAAGATAATGAAAAAAGCATCAGTAGTCTAAATTATGCAACATCAATCCTGTCAGTTAATCTTTTGGCATCTAAACCACAGGCTATTCTAAACAGGTTATATCTATGGTACCAAAAAATTACTCTTCGGTATCATCTCTCCTTTTTTCAACCAACTAAATACATGAAATTTATAAAGCTTTTTTATTTACTGTTTCATTCTACTTTTTCAGTCTTCAGAATTGATCACCATAAATGAATCGATGATGTATGGCCACAAATATTTTTTGATCCAGTATTGAATTCGTTTTTTCGATACTAAAGTCTTATCCTTCTAATCAACCCAAAAAAAATGTGATGCACATTAGAACTTAGAAGAGTGTTGAATACACAAAAAGCTGAGCCCAGACAGCAGACTCAGAAATCTCATATTAGTCATAACCCAACTAACCCAAAAAACACCACAGAAAATCCTCGAAGAAACTCACAGTAGCCATAACATCTATCCATGAAATTTGCCACTGCACATTGAAGCATATCGCGATAACTCTTTATGAAAGCATCGGCAGTCTAAATTATGCACCATAAATCCAGGCAGTTTTAAGTCTAACCCACAAAGGATTCTAATGAGGTTCCAACTATGGTCCCAGAAAATTACTCTTCAGTACCCTCTCCAACAAATAAAAAATGACATGCAGAAAGCGTTTTTATCTAACTGTTTCACTTTACAGTATCGTTTTTGGGATCAACGACTATGAATGAATCAACAATGTATAGCCACATTTTTTCAGTATAGTATTGAAAAGTTTTTTATTCAGAACCATAGTCTTATCCTTCTAATCAACCCAAACATAGACAGAATAGAAATTCATTACAGATTTTTAGATTACTTTGTTTCTTCTTCTCAAGCTTGCCCAAAAACGAAACACGGTCAAAGGAACTATAAAAGCCCGCAAAATTCATATACAGATCTACAATCACAGCATTAGAATAGATGTAATGACTAGAAACTATAGTCTAACGAAATACAATCTCAAAGAAAAATAATAAACAAAATACACAAATTTAAAGATACAGAGGTCAAAGGAATTGGTTTAATTAACCTGCTCGAGCGTGAGCAGAGACTTCTACTAAGAGAGAGAAGAACAGTAGCGGCCCGAAGAACCACAGATCTCGTGCAAACAACGTTTGGGGAAGTTTAGTGTAGACCCTAATGCGGATATTTATATTGCCAACGTTGTTACGACATGACGATTGTGCCCCTTGTGGGTTGCGGTAACGTTGTGGGCTTCGTGGTTTATGGGCCATTTTATCCAATTTGGACTAGGACTTATTGCTAAGGTCCGCTGCGGCCCTGTTCATTTTTTTAAATGGGCCTTACTACCATATTAAAACAAGACACGTATAATTTTTTATATTTATTTTACTTTACTATTTTAATAATTAATGATTATAAATAAACTAGAAATAACTCCATGCTTGAAAACACACTCTGTGATGCCAAAAATCGAACATTAACGTATAAAATTTATGTGCTAAATAATAATTTATTTTTTTAATTACATAATTTTAAATTAATGTGACAAGAAAAATAATTTTGGGGGTCATACAGAAAATATGATATTTTTTAATAAGAAAAATAATTTTGGGATAAATATATAATATAAAATATGACAGGTTTTAATTAACTTATCCGACAATCTCAAATAGACTCATTTAACGGTCACTAACATCCCTCTCAAAATAAGATTTTTTCTCTCCAAATTCATTACTTCTCACTTACGTTATACCGTGCCTTCAAGTACGAATTATTCTTAATTTTATATAATTAGATAAAAATTAAATTAATTTTAATTATTATTTTGTTTTTATGAGTTTTTTTTTTTTTTTTTTTGACATCAACCATGCAAAAAATCATTACGTCAAAAAGTGTTGGATACAATCGTTAGACAAAAAGGTCTTTAGTTCGGGAGGAGGACAGCCCACCCAATTCAAATGAATTGAGTTGGATAATTTCTTAGCTGCAACCCAACCCAATGAGCTGCTCTATTTAAAGTGCTAGACTTGTGTAAGAATCTTAAATTAAGAACATTAGCAAAGTGTCTGATATCACAAACAAAGGCAGAAATTTCCCACGATGGAACGTCTTCAGACCACAGTCGCCTCACGTAAACAAGCTGTTGAAGCCACCAGGCATGCTTTTCTGACTGCAGCGGCTTCAAAAAAAAAAACTAATGACAGCTAGAATTTTTTTAGCAAGGCCATCAATGATCCTTGCATCAGGCCCATGGAGTATCACCCCAATAGCAGCAGCACCCTTTTTGAAAGCACCATCACACCTCAGACAAAAATCTGGACGGCTGCCAGAAGGATGGTCAAGCCGAGTAGAAAAGACCACCTGAAGATCCTCATGCCAAGCTTTCTCCGTAGCCCAAGCTTCACTCCACTGTTGTTGAGCCCACAACAGAGTAGACAATGCGTTTGGCTCCTGATGATTAAATACAAAATTATTTCTAGCATTCCAAATGGCCCATGCAAACGTAGCCATTTTCCCTATGATCTCAAGCGAACTGAGAATGCACTTAATGTCAGCCAAGAACGACGAAGCCCATTGACAAACATACACATTTGCCTCCAGAACTAGTTTCAAACCTAACTCAGACCCGAACCATACTTTCTTTGCCCAATCACATTCAAAAGAAGATGTTCCACAGTTTAAATCTTCTCACCACATAATTGGCACCAAGGGAAAGCAACACATTTTCTTTTAAACAAATTATCGCGTTTGACCGAAGCATTGTTACAAACTTTCTACCAAAAATGCTTGATCTTTGGGAAAGTCAACATGTGGCAGATAACAAACCACAACTTTGGATGAGGACAAAACGAGGTACTAGAAAAATTAGAAGAAGAAGGGACAAGAGAAATGGCAAGGGAGCAACCTGATCGAACTGAATAAACTCCTCTAGGATGCAGTCTCCAAAACCTCCTGTCAGCGGCTGGAGATTGTGGTAATGGGATGGCTAAAATGGCCTCGCTCTCTTGCGCATTAAAATATCTCGAATAAGCCCATCATTTCACAACTTAGACTTCAGAGAGAATAACCGATTGACCCAGACAACATTACCGTTGTGGGGTCTAGTCGACCGAACAACTCCGTCATCAAGCTTAGGAATCCATTTGTCTTTCCAGATATTAACTTGGGACCATCCGAGACTTGCCAAAAAATCCCACTATTGCGAAGATCCCTTCCTTTAAGTAAACTGCACCAAATCCAAGATGGTTTCGCTCCTTTTCTTGGCCTTCATGAAGTCTCCTCCAGGGAAATAAATAGACTTTAGGAACCTAGCCCAAAAAGAGTCGGGTTTCTGAAGCAACCTCCAGCATTGCTTGGCAAGTAAAGCCTGATTGAATTGTCCCAACTCTTCGAGCAAATGCCACTCTTATCACCACCACCTCCCCACTAAAATTTCCTCACACATTTGTTAATCTTTTCACAAAAATTCTTGGGGAAAGAGAAGATTGACATAGCATACATTGGGATCGCTTGGATAACAACCTTAACCAAAACTTTTTTGCCAGCTTGTGTAAGAAAAAGGATTTTCCACCCTTGAAGTTTCTTCAAAATCCTCTCGAGGTGATAACCAAATAAATCACTCTTAGCTTTCCCATGCAAAATAGGCAAGCCCAAGTATTTGATCTCTCCATCCAAGGGACATAACCCCATCATCCGGCAAAAATAAAGCCTCTGATCATCCGTCGCATTTGCCGAAAAAATAATACCAGATTTCTGAAGGTTCAAGCACTGTCGAGAGGCCAAACAAAACTTGTTAAGAATAGTCATGGCATATGGGATTTCTTGTGCCTTGGCTTTAAAGAAGAAAAAGGAATCTTTCGTAAAAAACAAATGAGAGATAACTGGGCTTCATCTCCGAACTTTCAGTCTCGAAATTTTTCGTTCCTCCACCCCTTTCTGTAACATCAAAGACAGGACGTCAGCAACCAAAATAAACAAATAAGGGGAAGAGGGTCGCCTTGCCTAATGCCTCTCTATGGGAAGACTTCACATCTTCTTTCACCATTAATAATCATATGGAAACTAACTGTGCTAACACATTGAATGATAAGATGCACCCATCGCTGATCGAATCCCATCTTAAGCAGCACTGCCTCCAGAAAATTCCATTCAATTTTGTCGTAAGCTTTGCTGATATTCAATTTAACTGCCACATCAGGAACCTTACCTTTCTTCTTCAATCTCATAAAATGGAGAACCTCATTTGCAATAATGATGTTGTCTTGAATCTGCCTATGCGGTACAAAAGCAGCTTGTTGGGGAAAGATAATGGTGGACATGAAGCCTTTCATTCTGTTTGCAAGGACCTTCGAAATAATCTTGTAAAGGAAGTTACAAAGCGCAATAGATCTAAACTAGGAAATACTTTCTTGTGAGGCTTCCTTAGGAATGAGAACAATATTTGTTTTGTTCAACTCCCTGAGCATAAAACCCCTGTCAAAAAAATGCTTGACAACCCTGCCCACCTCATTCCCAACAATAACCATTAAGCCCTGGGGTCTTAAGAGCACCCAGTTTCATAACCGCGGTCTTAATCTCTTCATTCAGGATCGGCTTAAGCAGCTGTTGGTTCATATCGTCAGTAACATTTCTCTCCACAAAACCCACACTTCCTCAAAATCTCTTTGCCTCGTTGTGGAAAAAAGCTTCTGAAAATACCTTTTGATGTGATCATTCAGCACCTCGTCATCATCAATCCACTCATTATCACTCGTCTTTAATCTCAAAATCAGGTTCCGCTGTCTTTGCTGAATCGTAGAGAAGTGGAAGAACCTTGTATTTTAATCACCTAACTGCAACCAATTTATTCTTGATCTTTGCTTCCAGAAAAGCTCCTCCCGTCTCCTAATTCCATCCATGTCAGAAATGATCTCCATCTCCTTTTTCAGATTGGCCTATGATGCCTCTGACATTTGCACTCTAGACAATTGATCCTTTAACTCTACCAAAGATCTCCTTTCATCACTAAATTTCAATCTGCTCCAGGCCTTAAGCTCCTTCCCACACCTATCCATCTTCTTGGACAAACCAAACATCGTTGAACCTTGCCCAGCAACATTCCAATGTTTTCTAATATTATCCTCGCACATATCGTCATCCATCCAGCAAGCTTCAAATTTAAAAGAGAAATGCTTCTTCTTTGACAATGGCTCCAAGATGATAATGATAGGGCAATGGTCTGATCCCACCCTAGCTTCATGAATAACCTGCATAAAGGGATGACACATACTCCATTCAAGGTTGATTAAGACTCTGTCCAATCTTTCTTGAACATTTGCAATCCCCCGCCTATTATTTGACCATGTTAATTTTGGTCCGTTAAAGTCCATGTCAATAAGATTACACGCAGAAAATAAGGCATTACAATTCTTCTATCCTATGAACGCTGCTAGCTCTCCCCCATTCCTTCTCCATCAAAGACCCAATCATATTAAAATCCCCAACAACCTGCCTAATGTCATCCTTTATTGATAACCAATAACTATCGGATCATAAATCTTAAATTCTAAACCTGAAACATGTGTAATTATTAATAAATCACACATACTTAAAATTCCAAGATAAATAATGTTATATATCGTAACTCTCATGATCGGACAACTATCCGACGTTGAAAATTTAATTTTATAATATAATTTTTTTGAATAAAATTATGTTTCTCAAATTTGAAAAAAAAATCATTCACACCTTTTTTTTAATTTATATATTTCCAAGAACGTCCCTTTTATTTTTGGAATTTTTATTGACCTCTTTTCTAATTTGTATTTCAACTATATTCACATTATTCACAATGATTAACGTGCAAAAGTGTGGAGGTAATGAAAGCTTTTCTAAAAAATACCAAAATTACCCTTGTCATTTTATTCTCCCTCCTATTCACCCACTTCCCATCCCATCAGTGCAAACCAAACCAACCACTAATACTCCGTCTGATAGAAAAGATAGAAAGCAGGAATGCTGAAAAATATTAGTCATACGTTTTTTATTCTTCAAGGAAGAAAAATAGGACTCATACACTTTCTTTCCTTTGTGTTTGGTTGGATGGATGGATAGAATATAAAAATGACTATTTTTTTTTGTGCTGGTTAAGATTAGAAGTGACAATCAAATCGTATCGTGTCAGATTCGTGTTGAATCATTACGGGTTTGTGTCGAACATTAGTCAAACCTAACTCAACTCATTTAACTAATTGTATCGTGTCGAGTTACGAGTTGACCTGTTTATTTTCGTATCGTATTCGTATTCGTGTTCATTTTCGTATTCGTGTTGACTAACATAAATTTTGAATAAAAAATTTAACGCTAATATTTTATTTTCACTTAATTGAATCCATGTTGATATTTTTTTCTACAAACTAAAAATTAACTTAAATAAATATAATAATAATAAGTAAAAATATCTTTGTTATATAATAATTATATCAATGTTTAATAAATAGTTACAAATAATTAACATTTTATGTCTATAATATTAGTTAAACATGTTAATTTTGTATTACTATACAAACGAGAAAATAGATAAAATGTTTATTTTTAAATAAACTAGTTGGTGTTGTCAATTTTGAGTTTGACTGGTTGAACTGAATATGAGTCTTTTATATTTCTTGTTCGCGTGTCAGGTTATTTTCAAGTTCGTGTCGAGTTTAATTGAGTTCGTGTCATAAAATTCATATCGAGTTTGAGTCATATTATCGTGCTGAGTCGAAAATTTTCATCCCTAGTTGAGGTGATTTTTTTTAAAAATTTTTTAATGTTTTTATTTTTTTTTTAAAAATATATATATATATATATATATATATATATATATATTTTATCATTGTATTTTTATATAAAATTAATATATACATATCAAAAAATATATAGACAAATAAGATATATCTCAACACAAATAATTAATTTTTCAAATACTTTCTTTCTGATTTTGAAGGGATTAATTTTGATGAGGTAGAAGAAAAGTTAATTCATTTACTTTTTCATCATTCCTATTTTCCTTCCTTATTAAATATGATATTTTATTTATCTCTCAAATTTTTCATCCTTCCATTTTTTTATCATACTAAACGAAGTATTTAGGTAAAATGTTTTGCCACTACAAATTTCGAATATTTGCAAGACACGATCACAAACTCACAATATCAAGTTTAAACACCCAAATGTGCACAAAATAGAATGTGTTGTCACCCATCCAAATTGAGATCCTATGTGAAACTTTGAATGAGGTCTTATCAATTATTATTATGATAATATACAAAAATATTTATATAAATTTATTTAAATTTTTATTAGTTGAGATTGTAAATTAATGTCTAAAGTTTTGTACTCAAATTTTCTTTTTTATATATCATTTTAATTGAATTTATAATGAGCTTCAAGTCCAATATCACACACTCAAGTAATTTTTATGTTATCTTTAATTTTTAATTTATGAAAAAATATGCGCACGAGTTTGATTAAAAGGTAACAAATTCTTAAACTTCAATTTTAGTGTTAAAATTTTGATTAAGAGGTTCTTTGGATCAACAGGGACACGATATGTAAATATAAATAGGTCGATGGACAAGACACGATTAGTTAAATGAGTTGTGTTTGAGTTCACTAATCTTCGATACCAACCAATAAATGAACCTATATATATATTATTCATTAATTTTTGCATATTTGTGGAAAAAAATTAACAAAATATTAATTTTCTTAAATTGCAGAATTTATTTTTGTTTGTTAGATATATATAACGGCTAAAAATGTTTGTAAATCAATCTCAAACATAGGAGTATAAAGGTAAAATATATGTTTTGATTATCATCGTCATTTGACACACACATAGACATGGGGTGTCAACGAAGATTTAAAAAATAGAAGAGTCAATGAAGATTTAAAAAATAGAAGAGTCAATGAAGATATAATAAATTAGAAGGTATGTGAATGATTTTTTTTAATAATTTATTGGAAAATTTTCAATCACACATCCTCTAATTTACCATATCTTCAAGGACACCCCTTCTAGTTTTTGAATTTTCAATGACACCCCCGGTCAGATTAAAAATATTAAGTAGAATGCAATTTTATTAAATTGCTCATAATATATTTGAGGACAAATTTTATCCACACTCCCTCTAGATAAACATATCTTTAATAAAGACCCCTCCTAGATAAGTATATTTTCAATGAGACCCATTCTGTTTTCTAATTTTTTTTACATAATTAAATTCGAACCAATTAAAGTTCGATTCAAACTAATTAAAATTTATTTTTTTACATATTAAAATTTGTGCCAATTAAAAATTATATTTTTTTATGTATTAAAATTTGGACTTATTAAAATTTTGTTTGAGCCAATTAAAAATTATTTTTAATCAACTCAAATCAAATTTTAATCAATTCGCATTAAATTTTAATTAACCCAAATTTTAATATATAAAAATAAATGAATTTTAATTGACTTAAATTTTAATAAATCGAATCTTAATTGACACGAATTTTAATAAGTAAAAAAAATATAAATTTTAATCGACTTGAAAGAAAATTTTAATCGGCGCTAACAACTCGAGTAGAGTTCAAATCGGCTCAAATTTTAATATGTAAAAAAAAAAAAAATTTAATTTGCTCAAAATTTTTTTAAAATTTACGAATTAGTAAATAAAAAATTAGTATTTACTAACAAATTATTTACTAAAATTGTTACTTACGATTTTTTTTTAAATTTTAACAGCTCAAATTTTAATAAAATTTTATGTAAAAAAATTACTTGACATTATGTAAGGGCCATTTTGGTATTTTAGATGAATTTTTTTTGTGACAAATGGTAGTTTAGTGGTAGAGGGTGTTAGTGATGTTTAAATTAAACTAGAAGGGGTGTCATTGAAGATTCAAAAACTAGAGAGGGTGTCCTTGAAAATATGATAAACTAGAGGGGGTGTGATTGAAATTTTTTCTAATTTTTTTTATTAAATATTGTATAACAAATAATGTGTCAAAATCCCATAAATTAAATATTTGGTGGAAGTTAGTATACTCCACTAATTCAATCACCTACACTAATTTGAGATACAAAATTTAATAAATAATTTAGTAACTATAACATTGTTCAATTCTTTTTAATTGTTTTGAATGTAATCTACAGTGTTCAAGTAATTTTTTTTATTAATATACGATAAGTAATTTATAATATAAAATAAGACATATTTTAATAAACTCATTCAACAGTCTTAAATAAACTTATTCAATAATCACTAACATTCCTCTAAAACCTATTCATATTAGCTGCGATAGAAATAAGATAGAGGGACGAGGAGAGAAGGGATAAGTTTATAAGGCTGTGATAGAAATAAGAAAAAGATCAAGGGCACCTCTACAAAAATATAACTAAAATTAGACAAAAATTTGGAGCACCACTGATACTGCTTTTTTCTTCTTTTCTTTTCGAACTGATCCACTGACTATGCTCTCTCCCTTTCTCTCTCTCCTCTCTTGAATGGAGCTCTCGCTATCACTTCATGCCTTCCTTCGAATTTCACCTGTATCGATTCACCATGAAGCTCATTTTCGATATAGAAATATACCCAATACTCCCAGATGCAAAGTTACTGATGCGGTGTTGGAATGTTTCAAGAATCGGTCTTCAACTGGATTATACAATCACAGAAGCTGCCCAAGAACTGTCTTAAACAGACACCCAAAGGGCATGTCCATCTGGGTATGTCAATTTCTACACATTGTTTCGTAATTTTTGTTTTTTGTGTGAATAGCTAAGCTATTTTTTTCTGGGTCACTGTTTGCATAGTGTTCTGACGCTATGAGGAATTGGAACTGACCAATTGAGTTTCCACCGAATCCTGTAATACGAAAGTCATTATGATATGGGCCTCCGCTATGCTTCTCACGATGTGCAATGTAGCTAAATGTTAGCTGTTAGCTAGTAAAGAAGCCTTTTAATAAAGAGAATGTCCAGTTTTTCAGCAGGTTCAGGTGTCTGCAATGCTGATCTAAGCTGATCTTTTTTTGCCTGCATAAACTCAGCTTTGAAAGGGAAGCTATGCTGTTCCCTTATCAATTTCCATCAGTTTATACCTAAAGGGATTGAGGTTTAGTGGGGTTTCCCTAAGGAGTATTTTTTTTTTTTGATAGGAAACAGAACTCTTGTATTTTACTAGAAATAATAATGACACTAAGGAGAATGTCCAGTTGTTCAGGTATCTTAATTAAGGGTGTTACCTAACCTGTATATTAGAGCTATTTTTGCTTATCAGGATTTTTCAAATTTTGAAACTGAAGGCTTGTGAACCAAAGTAAAGTTTGAAACCCTAGGCCATGAGATGGAAGACGTTCAAAGTGTCATTATTTTGGGAGGTGGGGGCCGGATACATCTAACCTTTTCATTAGTTGTACAAAGTGGTTGCCTTAAGATTTGAGTTTGACACTTTTACGACCACTAGACAATGGTTCTGGTGGTAGATGTGCAATCCACTTTAACATATTCTTCTACCACCATCTTGAACGTGTTAAGCAATTGGTACAAATGCTTTCTGAGTAACCTATCAAAACGTATCACACGGATTAGATAATTGGGAACCTTCTTTCATTGTAGTTCTTGCCTGCAAAAAACTTCTATTGATGTTCTAAATTAAGGCGGTTCGAAGTGATCTAATTGGGCGGTGAATTATGTTATTTAGTCTTCCAGTTGTCTTTTGGATTGTATAAATGTGTTCATTTGACTCTTCTCTTGCACAGCTGTCAATGCATATTCACTCCCTTTCCCCATTTACTGTGTAGAGAAGTTCACAACTTACCAGTCTGATGGACCATGTTGACGTGACACAAAACTTGAATGCTTCTGTGGTGTCTTCACAGAATATGAAATTTACTCAAACAGCATTTTGGACAGATTAGCTTGTTTCTGTGACACTTCTGCTTGTGCATTCATACTGCTACATGGTACATAATATTGTGATTATGGAGATCTTTGTACATTACAGTTGGGTGTTTTCATGGGCGAGTTTGGGTTTTTGTTAAGTAACTAAACATGCTAGATCTCCTCTTCCTCCTCCTCCTTGCTAGCCGGGGTGCTAGACATGCAGGTCTTAAATTAATTCAATTCAATTCAATCAAAAGTTTGTGTTTTAATTAATTTGGCTTTATTATGTGGCCCGTCTTGCTATCTAATTATCTCTGACTCTAAGTCACACTCCTTTTAAGAAAGAACTCTAAATTCTATTAATGTAATTTTATGAATTGAATAATCATGACACATTAGTTTCAATATGCAATATATCAATTGATTTTACGTATTTACTACAAAAAGTTATCTTCCAATTTGATTTAGTATTATTTACAATGTTTCCATACATGCTTGGACAGACCATATCATATTTACGAGCAGGCCTAGAGACTAAAGCAAACTAAAGTTTATTATCTGAAATATAAAAACTACAACTCAAATCTTCACTAAAAACCAAGTCAGTGCAGGCTGCTTGACAAACCAAGGCTAGACTTGTTACATTTACCTACCAGATTGTGAAAGTACCATGTAGTAACATACATGGATTGAAATTCCATAAGACATTGGAATGCTGCCAATGTTACTTTATTGTACTTGTTCTTTTGCCTGTGCCAATGTATCTTGCAAGGACTTTACCTTGAAAGTGTTAGCATCGTGTAAGTTATATTTGACACGTTTCTATTAAAATTGAAAGATTTGATTTATGGCATTTACATAAAAATGGATGTTGCCAGGCCTGCAGTCAAGTTGGTGCTGCTGGATCGGATTCGGTATTGAGTAAAGTTTCTGAGTTCAAAGATGCATTCTGGAGATTTCTCCGGCCCCACACCATACGTGGGACAACACTAGGGTCTATGTAGGTGACTATCATTCTAAGGCACTAGTTGTTGGAGTACTGCTTTTACTAGCAAGGTGCAACTAACTTCATTTCGCTCTTTATTTTGTTGACAGATCTTTAGTAACCAAAGCATTGATTGAGAATCCAAATCTGATACGGTGGTCATTATTGTTTAAGGCATTTTCTGGTCTTCTAGCTCTAATATGCGGCAATGGTTATATAGTGGGCATCAATCAGATATATGATATTGGAATTGACAAGTAAGCAACACTAACACAAGCTGGTTACATGGTCACCAATATACTATACATATCTGTTTTTCCTACTTTTTATTACATTGTGTAACATATGATGTATGCCTTGCAATCATAGCCTAAAGCTTGGCGGATGGGTTGCAAACAATTATAGCCTGAATGTGGCATACATGCTGAGGTTTAGGATGAACCACATAATTGGATAATCAAGGAATGTCAACTCACCCTCCCACAACAACCCAAATAAAAAACCACTAAATGAAATCGACGCACCTAATCAAGTGGCTGTGTGGGCTTGTAAGGTTGCTTTCAATTGGTCATTGTATTTTTTTAACCAGTTATGTACTAATGAATTTCTAATGGAGTTCTAAGTTCTGGCCTTATATTTGCTAGCAATCTGTAAAGCTAGGTAGGCCAGTACACAGATTCTAGGTCCCAAAAAAGACCTTAGATTCCTCGATTTGTTTGTATGCTTACCGACTAATAGACGATTTATCAATAAAATCTTTGTTAACATGTACCTATTTGTTTTATTGGTTGCAGGGTAAACAAACCTTATTTACCTATTGCTGCAGGAGATCTCTCAGTTCAATCTGCGTGGTTATTGGTGTTATTGTTTGCTGCAGCTGGCCTTTTGATTGTTGGTGTGAACTTCGGTCCTTTCATTACGTCTCTTTACTCTCTTGGTCTTTTTCTCGGCACCATATATTCTGTTCCCCCATTTCGACTGAAGAGATTTCCTGTCGTTGCATTTCTTATAATTGCCACGGTATGGTTTATCCTCCATTCTTTTCCCTTAAACAAGATATGATAAACTTCAATCTTCTGTGTTGATGAAAGGGATGTGTAGTAGCTCGATGAAGTTTGAAAGGTTCACTAATGATTTCCCATGGCATCTTGAGACTAGATAAAATTATTGTAGGGATCCAACACCAAAATGACCAAACTCATTATGCAGGAAGACAAACAAGATCTCAATTCGAAACTTTTAAGTCTTTGATTTTATGTGTGAAGTTTTCTTTGAATTTGCACTGTACTAATTGATGAACATTGGCATTTTGTTCACATGCCTACATTTTATTTTCCTGCAGATGTAAAATATTTAACATAATTAATTGTACAGGTGCGAGGTTTTCTTCTTAATTTTGGTGTATATCATGCTACAAGGGCTGCGCTTGGACTAACATTTGTGTGGAGGTGAGTTACCGCGTAGTAATTCTTGCTTCATGTTGCACCATTGAGAGAAGAGCTATAAAAAGAAGGTTTCTCTCATACACAGAACAAATAAAAAGTGTGACCTGGGTTCACAGAATGGGCTCACTATATTTCAGCTGCAAGATCAAGTCATGGATGTGAAGAGGCCTTTACATCTAAATGGCGTAAAGTAATCTAGCGGCAATATGTGTGGAGTACCATTTGAAATGTCTAGCATCTTGTTCAGGGTGGTGCAATGTTTTCTAGATGCGTAAACTGTTTTCTCATGCTCGCATTTGAATGTTACCTGCAGCTCACCAGTGGCTTTTATCACAACTTTCGTAACTGTGTTTGCACTGGTCATTGCTATAACTAAAGATCTTCCAGATGTGGAGGGGGATCGCAAGTAAGTTCCAATACCAGCTCTGCAAAAATAGCTGCTTGTCATTATTATTATTAACATATTATCATTGTTACTGGTATTATTATTTTTCATTGGATGTCATGGTTTTGTATTGTTTCTCAAAATTCTTAACATCAAAAAATAGCATTCTAAAGCCTAAACTACATTATCTCTTTTATTTTTCCAATGTTGTCCCCTACAAGCCTCAATTTGCTGTAGGTTGACCGATTTCTTAAACCTTTATCCCTCCCTTATTTCTACTTGAAATTAAATTCCACTTTTATTGGTGTGTATTGATTATTATCTTTAATATATTTTTGTGAAGGTTTCAGATATCCACATTGGCAACAAAGCTTGGTGTAAGAAACATTGCATTCCTTGGTTCTGGGCTTTTGTTGTTAAACTATATTGGTGCTGTATTGGCAGCAATCTACATGCCAGAGGTAAATACCTTTAAACATGGCTCAATCGTTTTTGATCACGTTTTATTTTCAATATTAAGTTAGGCATAGGTCAACTCAACAAAGCCTTGTTCCAATCTTTTTGGGTTCGGCTAAATGAATCCTGTTTTGCTATTGTGTTCTATTAAATACTATATTTTCTGCTAAAACATAAGTTACAATATCTTTCTATCCTATTACATTTAAAGTTAGTTTTAATCTTCCTCTCTCCCTTCAATTACCGTCAACAGCTATCACATCACTTTTTCTCAAAGACATCATTCTTGGCTGCCTATAAATATGTCCAAACAACCTAAGTCCATTCTCTCTTAATTTATCTTCTATATGTTCTACCTGTACTTTTTTACGGATATTCTCATTCTTAGTTCTATTATTCCTAGTTGTACCCAACATCCATTTCAACATTCTCATTTCATATAAGCATAGTCACTAGCAAGAAATGATCCTTAACAACATGTCTCTCTCTCTTTTGTCAACCTATTCCAGGCTTTCAGGCACAGCTTGATGATAGCTTCACATACCATCTTGGCATTGAGTTTAATCTTCCAGGTTTAGTTTAAGATTCATTTGTTGCGATTGTTAGGAATAGATTTCTTAAGATTGTTATATGTTTATTACTTCTTCAGTTGATTCCCTTTCCATGGATTTACTTTCTTTACTTGGAATTTGTCTTGAGCAGCATTGGAGCTGTAGTGGAGTAAGTGAAATTTTCAAATCTCCCATGGTGGTTACTCCATCCACATGGCAGCCACTCCTTTGCCTCACATCCGCCTTGTGGTTTGACAAACCAAAGTATCATAACCTTCTCTTTGGAGTTGTGTTTATATGCTTTGGGAGAAATTCAATATAACATAAGAGAAATTTTAGAGTCTCCCATGGTGGTTACTCCATCCACATGGCAGCCACTCCTTTGCCTCACAACCGCCTTGTGGTTTGACAAACCAAAGTATCATAACCTTCTCTTTGGAGTTGTGTTTATATGCTTTGGGAGGAATTCAATATAACATAAGAGAAATTTAAAAGATAAAAATCTATTACATATGAGGCAGTCCTAAAATAACTTGATAAATGATTAGCAAAAGTAGCAATAGGAGACTAGTACTAAATTTTAAATTAAGGAATGTAGGTAATATAACATAATAAATTGTGGATCATACAAATTCCTAAAACATATTCGTCAATTCAAGCTTTGTCTAATCCATTTTCTTTCTTAAACCCCCCCCCCCCCAAAAAAAAAAAGAAGGAAAAAATTGAATATGTTAGCTATTGATGCAACTTTACACTTCTATATTTCTTTTTGCTGGTTGTAAGCATGTCCTGTGGTCATTTAATTGTCTTACAGTTAATCTGGTAGCAATTACATCTATAACTGCTGTTCCCTTTTTTATATTGCGATTCTGTTACCTTATATTTCATTTTCTGTGGCCACAGACGTGGGTATTGGAACGAGCCAATTACACGAAGGTAATACCGAAACTCAAGTTCCTATGTGATAGTAACAGTGAAGTGATTCTATGTCGGCATTGTGATGGTTGTCCTATCCAAAAGGACTTGTATCAATAGTCATTTAATGGTCACTACTGGACAGTTCAGTTGTTCTATAATATGACATCAAGTGGAAACTTGAAAGAAGATCTTTTCATTTTATTGTCTGATCAAACGTTTCTCTGTATCTTGCAGGAGGCAATCTCAGGGTTCTATCGGTTCATATGGAATCTCTTTTATGCAGAGTATATCATATTTCCTTTCATCTAACCAAAATGGTATTCACTTGGGAGCTGTAGTCGCATTGGCGTCGGAAAGGCTTCCCAAGTGGCCACAGGTTGAATGTCCAGCAATACAGACTAACCAAGTTAAATGAAGGTTCAAATCCTGTTTCAGACAATGTAATGCTTTGTTCTCCTTGTCACCTGAAAGGGACAAAAAAAAAAAAGAAATAGGGATTTTACCTATAGAAAGAGAGCTGTTTGGGAGGGGAAAGGAAATCTTATGTAATATTGTTGGTCATGTATGTATATACAAATAATAGCCTGTATTTAAATGTTGAAAGCTGAAACTCTGATGTACTAGGATTTCCCTACAGAATAAGTCTAAGAGAGTATTTTTGAGAGGAGAATGGTTATAAGTGTGCGGAAATTTGCAGGTGTGGGAATTTTTTCTAACGAAAAGTACTTACTATTTTGAGTGCAAGTGGTAGATTTGAAGCATCACGTTCTACTCTCAAGTTCACTTAATAGTAGATCATTTATTGTGTATGGACGAGGGATCCACTAGTAATTATTACTAGTGGATTCCATGTGTATTAATGGTAGATAATTTACGTAGAGTGAAATTGAGTGAAAGTGTAATGAAGAAGTTCTGAATTCTGTTATTTAGAAACATTTTTTTACCTTATATTCTTATTCAAAAACTTAGGGCTTGTTTGGTTTGCATTTCAAAAATTAGTATTCGAAAATAATTTTTGAGAAGAGTTTAAGAAAGTGGTTTTGATATTTTTTGAAATAAAAAATTTATTTGATTAGATGATTTTAAAAATAATTTTATAATATAAAAAATAGTAAAATCTGTTTGGACAGTTTAAATATATATATATATATATATAAACATAAATAAATAAATATATATATATGTGTGTGTGTGTGTGTGAATACGTGAAAATATATACATATAAATAAATAAATAAATATAAATAAATAAATAAATATTTATTTATTTATATATATACATATGTATATATTTATATATATATATACTCTCTGTGTGTGTATATCTATATAATAAAACATGAGTGTGTTTGAATTTTATCCCAGTTATATTTGCCCTCTCAAAACCATTACCAATCACTTACCTCACTCATCATATATTTGTCAGACTCAAACGTCAAATCGCATTACTCATTTTTATCACATGTTTAATCATTTATATATTTCCTCCTTAAAAATATCACATCACTCATTTTTATCATATATTTAATCATTTAATATTTGATTAATTTGTATTTGATATATTTTGAAAAAATTTAATATAGTTTGATCGATTTTTTGGACGCTTGAATTTTATATTTTATTGTGCCTTCAGGCACGAGTTATGACTAATATATATATATATATACTCCGTGTGTGTGTGTATATATATATATTTTTTATATTTATTTATTGTGTATATATATATATATTGTTCTCTTTATTTCCAAAATTTTCAAAGAAAGCTCTAAAAAAAGTTACACTTATTTTCTGTTTATTTGACTCAAATCTCATATTTTCTCAAATTTTTAAAAAAAAATGCTAAACAAACAAGTTTTGGGTATTTTTGAAATTTTGAGAATAAAAAACTGTTTCCGAGATAATAACCAAACGTGAGCTTTCTTTCTGAGACCATCTGTTAATTCTTCCTAGGAGAACGGTAGAAAATAATTCTCTTAGACTTTCTAATCACATGTATCAATAATCAATTCATTCTAAAATCTAAATATTTGTTGATACGAATATGGATTAATTTAACATTTTTTTTTCTTAATTTTTGTAAATAGTAAATCATATGTCATAAACAAGTGGAGCCCGTTTGATAATAGTGGGTTCCAGATCAATGCATAGTGGTGATCAATCACCAAAAAATTCAACATAAGCGTACTATAGAGAATCTGGACTCCATTAAAGCTGGGTCTAATTATCTCTTTAAAAAAACATTTTATGAATGCTGGGAATGGAAAAATGTAATGTTGAACCCATGTCCTCAAAGGATTCCTTAGTCTCTTGTCACAAAATTCTACAATAGAAGAGTTGGAGCAGAACTATTCTAAAGGTTCTAGAGTAGACTATTCCTTTAAAAATGGAACTCAACTTCTATGCATCTCTTTGCATATTGTTAAACATCATTATGCTTCATCCCCACTTTCTTCTCTCATAGTTGATTAACCACACAAATAAGAAGAGAAAAGAGACTATCAGGAAAATTAGAAATCAAGATTTTCATTCAATCTTTCACTACAAGATCTACAAAAGAATTTAAGTCAAAAAAAAAGTATATGAAAGTATGCAAAACAACTTCAAAATCTTGTCAGTTTCAGCAAGACAACAATCAGTCAAGATTTCTGTTTCCATCTCTATAACTTTAAGGTGTTGCGGTTTGGGAGAGAATGGATTGATCTGAAGTGAGTGGACTCCTGGCTATTGTTTCTCTACACAAGTTGGTTTGAGTTGGAACCCTTGGACTATGAGTGGTTGATCTCCTGGGAGAGGAAAAAGCAGCAGGCCTTGGAGACAAGTTCACTTCCTCTAAAACCCGAAATTGGAGCTCTGATGGGTAGTCCCTCACACACCCAATCCGCGGCCCAGCTCCTGTTGTCCACCTGCAAGATAATTGCTGAGCCAACTGAAATGACTTCATTCCTTTATGTGAATTTATCCTTCTAATAATCTTTTCTTGTGGGATGGGTTCTTCATATTCTTGTTCTTCATCTTCGTCAAACAAACTCTGTTTGGAAACGATAAATTCTTCATCTGATAAATATTCTTCAGCTGTTTCATAGTCATCTGACAGACATTCCACAGGGTGAGTGCTGCCACGTGGCCCTCGTTGTCCTTCCTTCTTGAACATCTCTAATATGTTTTCCCTCTTTGGGATTTCTAGAGTAGTTATCCTCGAGCGCAATCCTCTAGACCACCTTGATAAGGGTGGATGCAAATTTTCTGCATCATTAAAATATTGTTTTCTCGAATTATCCTTCTCTCTATCCAACATTTTGGTATTGGTTTCTTCCCTGGAAAAAACAAAATCTGGTACTGATATGCTGTTTCGCATGCCAAACCACCAGCACCTTTGCCAAAGGCTTCTTCTTCCTCACCTCTCGGGCTTTTCTGCAAATGAGAAACAAGAAAAATAAATCAATGAGTGGCCAACATTTTAATCATTGGGAGATTTCAAGTCAAATATATATATATTCTATGAACTTGGGCATGAATTATGTGCAGGGATCCATTTCTCATATGTTCCTACTTCTAAAACGATAAAAATCTTCGTCAGATTTTCTACCTGGACAATACTGAGATCTACTCTGTGTTCTCTAAGGAATAACACGAACGCCTCGAAATTTTCTTGCGTAGGGAGATAATGTCCACTGTGAGGCCAAACAGCCTATTGAGTGAAAAAATGGATTAACAAAAACCATCAGCCTACCTCAGAGAAGTTATAATATTTAAGTGAAGAAACTCAGTATGCCTTAATTCTGCACCTTTAGAATACCGTCTTCTACTACTAATCTCCCAGCAGATAATGTCGCTCCACCAGCCAAGAAACTAGAATGTTGAAATGTGCCCTTCTTCTTCTGCCCAACATACAAGTTCTTCGACACACTGAGTACAAAGATCCACTTGACTTCTTCAGATCCTCCTCTGGCATTGAGAATCTCCCTGCTCTGCTTGTAGATGAACTTCCCATTTTCCAGTACAACTTCATAAGCCTTTCTCTCTATCTGAAACACAAAATTGAAGTTATATGTAAGGTAAATTGACAGTAAAAATAAAACTTTGATGATTATTTCTATTTTTTGTTTTTGTTTTTATTGGGGTGGGAGGGATTTCAAAGGACTTTGGTATTCTGGCAAAAAATAGCTCAAGAAAGTCCCAGCAACATGATCTCATAATCTTTAAAAGGTTGTAATCCTAGTCTTCTATCAAGACATTAAGACCTCTAGAAACGAAGATTAGGCTCACCGGACCAAGATACTTGATGCATTGTTGTTGCAGCTTTGATCGAAGACATCTTTCAAGAGTTATTTCTTTACCTTCTCCTATGTCAAGCCTACAATTCATAGTTTTACGGATTTAGCCCTCTATATCAAAAGACGATGGATGTAAAACAATGTACGTTCATTTTGATTTGTGGTCCAAAAAACCTTACCAGTAGAAGAAGGGTTGTTTGCTCTCGCAATGTAACCACTTCGCGTAGTAAAATTGAAGATTATGACCATAGCGATGCCGAGGATCTATCTATCATACAGCAAGGAACATAATCAGCAAAGAGCCCATGCACCATCAAGAATAACAGGTATTATCTGTCAAAGGTACTTTAGGAGTGAACTTACTGCCTCAAGCCAATGTTGTAGAGCAAGTTTGCGTGCCTTGTCATCCTTCGACAAACCTTTCCCCACCTGTCAATGATGACCAAAGCCAAAAATTCAGAGCAATATCAATGATGGACTAAAGTTAAGTGAATATTAAACTGTCCACTACCAACCTTGGCAGCTTTGGTTCTTGCTCTTGACCAACGTGATACAGCAGTTTCGGATTTCCCAATATCAAAAAATGATATAGAACTGCTCTTGAGTACAGCAAAATCTAATAGCTTCCACCTAAAAAATGCATTTGAATTTTTTAACTTGGGATTGCACTAGAACATGAAGAAAAAACGAATGTCAATACACAATACGAGCATGAAAACACTCCTTCAGATAACACGATGTAACACAATGGAAGAAATCATCTAGATTTTATAATATAATTTTTTGTGACAGTTTGGTTTTTCGCTTGAAATTCTGATAACAATTTCTGTTCTCAAATAACATAAGCATTAAATGGGATTGAGATTGATACCAACCATCTCTGCTCAACTAAAACTGCACAATCCGCCAGTTGTCTTCTGGTTCGGAAACTTTTGTATGTCTTCTGCAGCTTCACTGCAGCATGATGTCTTTGGTTCCCTGACTCCAACAATGGAATCTGAAAGTTTTTCTCTGGCATGCCATCTGCTGTTGGCAATTGTTCAAGGATTTCCTGGTTCTTACGGCTGAGAGTTCTGACAACTACATGATCTTCCATATCCAAAGGAGTTTCAATTGTGATTGTGGTCTCCAGTTCCCTCCCGTTGAAGCTAGGAGACTTCATCAACTTTCTCGAACCAACAGATTTCATCATTGCGCTGAATCTCAGCCACCATAATCAATGGAGTGCAACGCAGTCTTCTCATCATCAGCCCCAAAACTGAATGACCCAATTAAATAGATTCAAATCAACTATCCAAATCAGCAAAAAAAAAAAGGCAAATGGAAAAGAAAAAAATACCCCCAATTGCTAGAAGAACTGGGATATCCTCAATCAAAATACCTGTAAGTATAAACAAAAGTCTCAATTCAACAAAACCTTCACCAAACATTTTGTTAAACAAAAGTGAAGAATTTACTACCAATTTACCAATACACAAGACTCACCTTTAATTTGAATAACCTCGTGTGGTAAAGATTGAAATACCAACAAAAATTATTCAATAATCATAAATGAAGATCTATTATTGGAAGAGTTTAAAGTTATTTGAACTCCAAACACCTTGTTCTTATTGATAGATTTGTCTAAACATATATACATGAGCTGTGGATAGAGAAAAAAATACTAAACAATACAAAATGTGTTATTAGTAACTATAGAAAATCAAAATACAATATATGCAGCATCTTAGAACAACAACCCAATACCGCTCCCCAAGGAAAAACTGCAGACACAAATCCAATCTCAAGAGATACCAAATGCCTAAAATGTCAATCTAAATGCAATGTGCCAGGAAAAAAACTTTCAAACCCCAAAACCCATTTCTCAAAAAAAGCAACATTTCAATCGCACAGCACCATAATCAAGAAAAGAAAAAAGATAAGCGCAGAACAATATCAGACATAAAAAGGGAATGTACCTATACTGAGAGAGCCTGAATTGAAGATGCGACTGGTTTGAGCTTAAATTGTCCAAAGAATGCAATGAGAGACAGAGAGAGAAGAACCCGGAAGACGATAAATTGATTGGTTAACACCAATCTGAGAGGGACCGTGGAATGTGGATGTTTTGGGAAGATTTGGGAGAAGGGTTTGGTTGGCCTTTTGTAGGAGAGAGAGAGAGAGGGGTGGGGGGGTGTGGCAGTTTGTAGCAGAGATGAAGTCTCCAACCACGTGTGCTTGATCTCCACAACGCAAGGAAGTTTCATTTCAATTGGATCAGTTTAGGAAAATGAAGAACAATTTACTATTTAATGTCTTTTAATCGACATTTACACCCAAAAACCTGACCACCAGAAGAGTTATTTGTTAATAAAAATTTCGAATTCAACATATTTGATTTTAGGGGTTATGTTAGTCACGTACAACGTTATCGTTCCCCTCTCCCATAAAAAAAAATGTGTGGGCAATTGAACCTCCACTCCACCGACGCTTCGTTGTCTTTTGTTGTACGGTTGTACCAAACTAAACGTAATCTTGTCCAAGCTGTCACGAGAAATATCAACCTCACAACCCGTGGACACCACGCGCCAATAGTTGATACTAGACACTCTAAGCCAATCATTAAACACCTGTGTGTACAGCTGTCATTTTCCAGTCTCTATTGCAACAGCAAAATGAACTTTGTTCCGTACGAGGTTATTTTATCCATATTTCTCCTTTGGCGCCGAAAATTCTGGCCAACTTCTTCCACGTCTGGAGAAATTTTCCAGCACCACCATCCCTATGCACCATTTATGTGTAGCAGTTAATGAGACTTGATCTACTGTTTTTTTTTTTAAAAAAAACATGTGATATGATCTGAACTATTGAATATTTAATAAATTAAAATTTTTTTTTTGGATAAGAAATGACCAAACGGAATTTACTATTTTACTAATAAATGAATGAATTAAACAGAATATTTAATAAATGAATTAAACTTGCTAAATTTTATTATTTTATTATGTTTGGTATGGTGAAAAATAAAATAGATAGAAAGGTAAGGAAGGAAAATAGGATGAAATGATTGAGATTCTATTATTTGGTTGAGATGAAAAATAAGAGGGTAAGGAAAATGGATGGGAAAATATCTCCCTTTGGCTTCATTTGATTAGCAAGATAATGTTAGAAAATATGAGGAAGAGAAAAAAAATTAATTTTTTTTCATGTTTATTTAGAAAGAAACTGATTAAAATTACAGGAAAGTGGTGTGAGGCCCACCAAATTTTCTTGTAATTCTACCGTTTGGTTTCTTGCAAAATTAATGGGAAAATATTTTTTTCCCGTGAAATGTCCGAGGTAGCCGACGTTCTTCTCCTTTTCCTCCTTACACCATGCAAACAAGCAGTTGGTAATGTTCTCCTTCTTGAGTTTGCTTTGTACTAAATGTTGATAATACTGTGTTAGTAATTGGGTTAGAAACTTTAATTTCTATTATTGGCTTTTTATTCGTTGCGTCTAGATTGTAATTTCTAATCCTTGTGTATGTGTTAGATTTATGCGATAAGGATAATTTAGTACTTAAATTAATTTTTTTATATATTTCTAACAAATTTTTCATTCTAATCAAACGCATACAAAAAAATAAATTTTTATTTTCATTTCTTTACTTTCACTTCACTTTTCTACCATTTTCGCTTTCTATCATCAATTTCTTTCTAACCAAACAAAGCCTTCCGCACACAAAAAAAACTTCTCTCAAAATTGAGCAAGTAAGTTTGAAAATAGAGTTAAAGTTCTCAAGGATCAGTAAATTTTTCGTCAAAATCTAACTCATTGACACCGATGAAAAAATTAATGAAAAATATTGCGACACTTTTAATACAGTGAAAGCGTAATGTGAAAAATTTAATTTTTAAGGGTGTAAAATAAAAAATTTAAAATCTTTCATGATGCAAAGTAAAATTCACCCTTATAACAATGTCATCAATCCACAACTCAAACAAAATTAAAATTTTCTTTTAATCAGCATGTGATGAACCTCAAATAGTGAGCACCTGGATGCACCGAAATTTTAAAAAAAAAAATTAGGGTTTATTGAAAATATTTTTAAAAAATTAAAATTTATTACAACTTGCCCCCGAGTAATTTTTAAAAATAAGTGACTCTTTTTATAAATTAAAAAATTAGACTTAAACTTCTCTCGAACGACACAATGTCATGATTCAATCTTCACTCTCTAGTTGTCTATTTTTTCTCTTATATTTGAAAATTTGCCTATTATGTGCACTCTTCTCCTCTAGTGGTTGATTCCGAGCAATCTTCTTCTTTGGCAGGTGACCCCTTGCACTCTGTAGCTTTGTTGGTGTTGATTCCTAGGGCCAAGCTTTGCTTCAAAATTCTTGATCACCAAGGTTAAAGATCTCACATCCTGAGCTTCTGCTAGTTGTCCAGGAGATGAAGACTGTCTCGAAAAGGGAAACGAGAAAAAAAGGTCAGCCCATATTTAGATGTCACTAAACCATAAAATCAGGTTGTAAGTGTGTCTGTCAACGGATCAAATTTTGATCGGATTTTAGTTAATTTGAATTCGAATTCGAATCCAACGGATAAAAATTCGATTTCAAATCTGATCCGATAATCTAATAGATATCAAAATTTTATTTCATATCCGAATTCGTTAAGAATCGACATCTCAACCAATAATTCAGTCTGATATGAATAAGTTGACTTCTAACAAAATTTACCAATTGACCAACAATTTCAACACAATAGATGAATTTCTACTTAATTTTGTTAATCAATCACTCAAATCCAAATATTTTAAGCAGTGATTAAAAGTATTGCAATTACTCCAAAGTATCAATTCTCCTCTAACTCACTTCAACATCTGTTTCTACAGAAAAATTTTGGAGTGATATAAAATAAAATTGATACTTTAGAATACAATATGAGAAATTTTATAGTTGACGATGCAAAGTGAAATAAGGGTAATAGTTTAGGGGTGAAGTGTAATTTACTCAAAAAATTATGACATCAAAAAATATCCAAAAAGACTTCAAGGACATACCTTTTCTAGCTGTTCTGCTCTTTGTTTGAGATCCTCCACAGATGCTTCCTTGTGAACAACTTGAAAAATATAGAAGCAGGTGAGAATGGAGATTCTCCGAGCAATGTTGTTCTACTTTCCATTGAGGAATGCTAGATTGACAACCCACTGAATAAAAGGGGCAGTTCATGAGCTTCATTGGACAAACAGTTATACAATGCCTATCCATTTCGTGCCTCATGATGCTATCTGAACACTTCTGCTCACAAGGAAGTATCATAAAGGGACAGATTGAATCATGATACTTCCTTGTGAGCTGCACTGAATCTGGCATTACACCTCTCATTTGTGCAATTTATAGTTCTAAAACTGCAATGTGGTGCATGATCGCTCAGCTCTTCTTCAGAGTTGAATTTCTTGTTGCAGTGAGACATGTTCTTGAAATCGACATTCTTTAGTAGAGTTTGGGCAATGTCTTCCCTTCGTTGTATCAGCCAAAACCCATTTATTTCCATCTCTTGGACAAGGTCATCTATCCTGTCTTCCCTCCTTTCACTCAGAAGCCATCCTGAAACTCTACTGAAGAAATTCCTTTTCAAAGTCATCGACGAAATTAGAAATGATATCGTAAGGATTGTCAGACTCTTCCGCGTCTGGACCACCTTCTAAGACTACAAATTCTGCCACAAAGGTTTCGCTTCGCTGTGTAAGATAATCCACTAATTCTCTTCTTATATCAAGAGCCACTGAAGTGGGCTCTTTAATAGACCGCCCGTTGTGTTGTCAACACAGGCTGAGGCTAATCCTGGGAGGAATGCTTGTGCAATCTTGTGAACTATTTCTGTATCAAAAAGATCACATTGGTACATACCTCCCTCTTTAATTTTTTCAAGCTTCTCTGGTGTGACTTCCCCATCAGTAGCAGGAGGATCCATGTGAGGTAATGCCCTATAAAAGGTGAGCCACAAAGAATTACTCTCTGACAAGGACCAATGAAGATGCTAATTGCACGAATTAAAATTAAGTTAAGATGAGCGAAGTAAATCAAAACGAACTGCTGAGCAGGGAGGAGATGATGGGGTCGGTCCATGGATTTTCCTTCCTTTTGACGCATTTTGCTCAGAGGGTTGAAGGGAGATAGTGGGCCAACTTGATCCTTTTCCCTGGGGATCCCAAATGTGGGAACCTTAGGAGAGATGCCAACTCTAACTACCGTTCATGTACGATCCATACTAAATCTAACCAACTGCCTATCCTACCTCCTCTGCGTTTCTTGACCCCATCTTTGTAATGCGACTTGTTGTAGTTGGATAAATTTTAGAACCAAAACAGGGGGGATTCATAGAGCACAAAAACTATTGCTAAACCAATAAACCTACAGAAAATAATGGAAAATCCTAAAAGAAGCTCACAATAGCTAATACATATAACAGTACAATGTTCCGTTTTGCATTGAAGCACATTTTTTTTATCAGACATTGAAGCACATTAAGATACCCATTTTGTATAAAGGACAATGACTAGCAAAATATCAATAAACAAGATCAAGCAACTTAAGTACTGTGAGTTCATCATTTAGTCAGTGTCTTGTCCCGAAGGATGCTAATCAATTACAAACACCAACTTTATATAGATGCAATGTCAGAGTTCAAGTTCGTGATATTGATTATCTGACTCGGAAGATTCTGAGACACATTAGTCACGCCATCGCATTGTGATATCGGGCTTAACGACCTAAAAGAAAATATTGAATATGACTAGAGATTTTGGTCATATTGTGGCTTCATGGAACCGTATCTGCCGGTTCGGTGATGATAATTTGTAGGCTACGAATTAAGTTGGATACAACTCAAACGAGTCGTACCAGACTCGGGGTTTACATTTTAGAAGATGTTAAGTTAGATATGATTCGATTGACTTATATCAGTATTGATTGATACTTTGAACCATGACGAGTCGTACCAGACTCGAGGTTTACATTTTAGAAGATGTTAAGTTAGATATGATTCGACCGACTTATATCAGTATTGACTGATACTTTGAACCATGATACCAGCAATTAGAATAATAAGTCGAAAATGAGTAGAAATAAGGAATCAACATGCCACTTTAAGGTTGGTGGACACTTTCCTTAAAAGTTATATTTGTTTCCAACTCCATTGAAGTTAGCCGCTGGGTTGTATGACAATTCACCATCCACCATACAACAAAATCTACATAGAAAAATTGTGAAATTTTTTCTGGGTTTTTCAACAAAATTGTGTAGGAATGAGAGATTATATATGTATACGTTTGATTTCCAGATCCTTTCATGGAAATTCACGTCTCATAGATATTAGTTGTATATGAAAATTGTTTAGAGCTGTTCTTCGTCATAATAGAAACCAGATTGTGCAAGCAATGTAGCTGTCTCCCAAGAACCACATGTATAAAGTCAGAGTCGAATTACCTATAAAACTGTCAGATCAGACCAAAAAATGGGAAAAAAACCCATTACCTATGTTGCAATCAGAACTCAATTAGATATCAAAGACAAGCCTGAAGAAAGAAATTGTATGTATATGTCAAAGCCAATTGATCGTGACATGCAGGGAGAGAGCATTTCCCAAAACAGAGGATAATGGGGCAACGAAGGAAAAAACCCATTACCCATGTGGCAATCAGAACTCTTTTTTTGGCTATTGGAAAGGGTGGTTAGGTGCCACGAGGCCTAACAACCTCCACCTTGAGGTATTTAGTCATAGTAGAAATCGAGTCATAACTAGTTGAGTTCATCAGTATAATACCATCAAGGAAAAACTAAATTATTATCGTAAACGGATTCCAACTCATCAACTAGACTATCACCTCGATGGTTGGCAATCAGAACTCAGTTACATATATACTGAGAGAGAGAGAGAGAGAGAGAGAGAGAGAGAGAGAGAGAGTGTTTGTTTTAGAGAGAGAAAACAATACAAAAAGGCCAGGGTGAAGAAAGAATGTCTGTTTAGGGCAAACTCAATTGTTCATGATATAGTTGTTCCCCGGTTCTGGTTTGCCTAGTGAATTTGCACTATAGCCCAATTGAGCGGGCTGATTTGGCACTCTAGCCCAATTGTGGGGGCTGATTTGGCTCTCTAGCTTTCTCTACCACCCAGAGCCCAAACAAATCTTCTTCTATAGACGCAAAGAAGAACTCCAACGCCTCCTCTGGTAGAAGCACCGATTCAAAGATCTCCAGGCAATCTTCTTCCCTTCATCTTCTATCTTTTTGCTTTTCATCTTTTATTTTCTTCATTTTTTTTATTTATCTCAAAACCTCATTCCTACTCAAGTGTATTTTATATAAATCCTAACCCAACCCATCGAAGTATAGAATGATGGCATAGGAATCAATTCCCTCAGTTATCAAATTTGTTGATTTCGGTGTTGATTTCTTACAACTCAGAGTTATTCAACTTTTTTGTGTGGGATTTTCCCTTTGCCTACATGTATGAGATGCTTGGTGCATTTCATGGAGATTATATGGGACTTTTTTTTTAAAAAAAAAAGAGTTTTTAGGATTATATGGACATTTTTAAAAAAAATTGAATAAATATTGAAGTTTCTCCATTGAAGTTGCTCTAAGTAATATCTAATATTATAACTAACAATCTGAATTGCACATTTATCAAAGTACAATAATGGTTGTTGTTGTAATTAAACTAATATTCATTCTATTTTATTTAACAGTACAAAATTCAACTTTTTTTAAATTCGCTCAACAGCATAATTTTTTATACATGCTTTCCAATGTTAGATAACTCACCCAACGCATTCTCTAATACCAAACAACATTACTAACCCACATCTACATCTCTTTTATTTTTTCTCTATCAACTTAAATTTTAAATTTCATATAATTAAAGAAAAAAATAATTATTTAAAATATAAATGTTAAAACGATCATTGCTGGATTTGGAGTATTACAGAGTATCTTAAGACATATAATTATTACTAGTATACATATATACTAACTATGGCCCCATGCCATGCACAAAATTCCTATTCTACCCATATTCACATAATCTTAAGAGAAAATGAGAGGTTGAGGTAACCAAAAAAAATATGAAGATTGATAATCAATTCACAAAGGCTAGCCTAATATTGTGACAACAAATATTGAATTCACAAATAACACTCATAATATGAAGAATGGTACTCAATTCTCCAAGCAAACCTAATTGTGCGATAACAAAGAGTAAATCCACGCATAACTCTCAAAAATTAAAAATTAGTACTCAATTCACAAAAACTAGCCTAATAGTGTGACAACAAAGGATGAATCCACACATAACGTACAAAATATGCATCAAAGAGTTTAACCCAAATATTACCCATAATTAGAAATTTGATAGAGAATCCATGCCATTCAATAAAAATAGTGTAGCATTATATAGTGACACCATATATACACTGAACAAATGTGAAAATTTTGCTTAAAATTTTTATACAATTTATATATATTTGATTGAACATAGAACAAAAACCATTTTGGTAATTTTTAGTGAAGATTAGGATTTTCGAATCATAAAATCGGGGTTGGTAAAATGTAATGATCTCAAAAAAAAAAAAAACCATGAACATATCGGTTCATATCTCTTAAACAGATTTGGATCAAATTCAAATCAAAATCTAGTCTATTGATTGACAATAATTCTAGTCAATGTGCATATAGTCCTTGATATTTAAATTGTAATAATCATTCCTCCAAATTTCACCTAAATTCTATTGCTATTTTAAAATTAAATTAAGCATTTGACCTTTTAACGATGCCATTTTAATTTCTAAAGTTTGTAATTTACCTCTCAATTAATCAATCACAATAATAATTTAAAATTACTAAGGGAAATGACCACTCGATAAAAAGTCACTTTTTAAGTAGTTTAAGTGATGACAGATACGAATTGTAAATTCAGACGCCTTGAATTTGAATCTTGACAATTTCTTGGGGTCAGGGCATGAGAAATTTATCCCTCATTAATATCTAATTTTCGACATAAATGACTTACATTTGATCAGATTGAGGAGGAGATTAATTAATGTGCACGTAAATTGATTCGAATATTCCTAATTATTGAACCAAAAAATAGAAGATAAGAAGTCACCCTCACAATAAAGGCCAAACTTTAATACAAGCTCAGACATATACCAAGAAAATTAAGGACTTATTTGGTTTACATTTCAAAAAATAGTATCTGAAAATTATTTTTAAGAAGAGTTTTAAGAAAGTGTTTTTAAAAAATTTTAGAATACAAAACTTGTTTGATTATATATTTTTAAAAAACAAAAATTATAAAATTTATTTGAACAATAATCCACAATTCTCACATTTCTTCTGACTCTATGTCTCTCTCTTTCTTTCGCTGTGTATCACCCACCGCCCACAACTGAGAACCACCATTAACCCAACACCCGCAACCCCCGCCGAGAACCACCCACCACCAAGACCACCACCCACCGCCGAAAGAGAAGAAGTTGCAAAGGAGAGAGAAAGAGGCGGTGGAGGCTACTCAGATCTGTGTTTTGGTAGCTGTTGGAGTTCCGTTGGACGACTGGTGCCTTCGTTGGTGAACCCACGTGCTAATTCGATGGATTGACGATAGGGCTTCGCTGGATTTGGGGATGCGGCTTCACTGGGTTTTGGGTATTCAGAGCAATGGAGGTGGGTTCACTGGTGGTGGTACTCCGATGGCAATAGACGACAGAACAGGAAAGAAGCAAGAAGAACTTTTTTGTCTCCGATGAAACTTGAAGGAGATATCTCATTAATTTAGAGATAAGTTATTCCCCTCGTTTTCATTTTATCGTAGAAAATAATGAGAACATCATTTTATTATTCTCTAAAATTATATCTCATTTTTCAAAATTTTTAAAAAGTTAGAGTACAAAAATTTTAAACAAACAGCATCTCTTTGTTTTTAGAGTTTTGAGAATAAAAAATAATTTATAAAAACCAAACCAAACACTCCCTAATACTTTCAGTTATGGTACTTATTTTCATTATTCAAGAATTAAGCCCATGGAATAATAAACATTCAAACATGTAATTTACAATTATTTTTGGCACGAGGTTCGAAATCGAAGCCCTACTTGCCTTCAACTTGCCCAAAAAGGAAGAAAAATCATGATCAAGATAAGAATAAGAATAACAGGTCAAAAGTTATGAAACTTGAGTATAGGACTTTTGTTGAAATGGAGTTGCTTTTTCTTTTTATTTATTATTTATTTATTTATCATAAATGATAAAATTTGACGATGCACAAAATAATTTATGCACCACTTGTCAAATATTTAGTATAGTAATAAATGATGAGAGTCAATACAAACAAAATAGGTCAATGTGACCTACTCTACTGTGAAGACCAAAATGACTTGAGTATTTTATTGTTTAAGAGGTGTAGAATACTCAAATATGAGTGAGGTATGAGAGATGTTTTCTTTGTGTAGGTGGAGTTTATAATTTATAGACTCCTTTCTAATAGATTGAGTCGTCTTTCTTGTGACAAGTGAGATAATTCTATAGAGATAATGTCATTCTCGTAATAGACGGGACAATTATGTGGAGCTGATGATGTGCATGTCCCAAGAATATTTTCTTGCATGTCAGTTGTGAATTAAATCTCGAGATGTCGCGACTGACCCGACTATCCAAAGATGACACGACTGTCTAGACCTAACTTTTCCCATCTTGTGATGTACTGGACCTGTATGCTTGAGGTAGACTTGATCCGTATCTTTTAACTGAGCCTCTGAGCTGGGCTGTGATTCTGGACCTCATCTGGATCGGGCCATAAAAATCATTACAATAAGTATTCCGGCTCCATCAACCAAACATGTGATTCGTAATCAATACCGGCAAATATGCTCTCTTATCTCAACATAATTAGAAAGCAAAATATTGGGCATTTTTTTAGTTGGGGGGAGTATACGTCGGATTAAATGATTGATAGGGAAAATGGGTCCAGTTTGACCCACGATTACCTTATTTGGTTTGGAATTTATGATCCGATATTTTTAGCAGATTACATGATTGTTTGGGTAAATGGGCCCAGTTGTATCCACAATAACCATATTTGGTTAGGAATTAATGATAAGATAATGGGGTTAGATTTAATTCCGAAAAGTAATTTTTTTGATATTTTAACTTATTTTTTAGCCAATTACAAAGTGAATGCAAATTTTTATTATTTTAATTTTTCATGCTATTTTTCTATTTTTTATACCTTATTGTTTTTGGTCAATTAACGAGTGAATATAATTATTTTATTGTTCAATGTTATTTTATTGTTAGATTAATAGCACTTTTATTGCTTAAAATATGTTTGTTTTGTCAGTTCGACTCTCATTGTATTAATTTTATTAATTTAATTTCTAAAGTTTTAATTTGCGTCACTTTGATCCCTAATCTGACATTTCTTTAAAATTTTTTTGACGAAAATGATCACGTGTCATTCTTCAAGATTGTATCATATGCCCAACATAAAAATATAACATCAAAAATTTAATGGTCCATTTATGTAGAGATCATTTACACACGAATTGCATATTTTAGAGACTAAATTGATAAATTTATACTTGAATGACCAAATTGACAAAACATGCATATTTTAAGGATTAAAAATATTATTAACTCTTTTATGATTAACGGTTACAAATAAATTAAAATAAGATCTATAATCAAAAATTATTTTTTAGTATGAGGTAAGAAAAGCAAAATGTGACTATCATAGACAAATTTGTGGAAATGATACTTAATAATAGGGGGCCACTTGTGATGCAAGATTAAAGTGGCAATGTAGAAGCCCACCCACATGTTTAGTGGTTGAAATGACTATTTTAGCCATGCTTTCTTGTATTATATCCAACCTATTATAATCCCATTAAAAAGTGGGTAATATATATAATTAATCAATATCCGATCCAATCAAGTCACTAGAAATCCCATCCATGTAACAAACCAAAATTAAAAAGAATACGAGGATCTAATATGTTAATTTAATAATGTATCAAGTAATAAAATTTCAATAAAAAAGTTTAATTGTTGGAGTTGAGACGGTTGAGTATTATTAACGTAATTAGGGATAACTCGTGCTTAAAGGAACAGTGCAAAGTGAGAAATGATGGATTGAGGAAGAGAGAATTCTATGTGAATGGTTTTAATAGAAATGTTGATGGTCGTTACTCGTTGGATGAATCTATTTGAGACCATTAGATTAACTTGTTGAAATTTACACTATTTTATATTATAGATATTTTACTGTTAAACCATCAAATCAAAATTTTAAATTTCACATAAATATGACATATTATTGATACTATATAGCCACACCATCATACTAATCAACCAATAAATTGCTATAATTAACAAAGACCAAAAGGACAATTCAATGTACGATAACTCGAAAATTTAGGGAAGTGTTATTAATACATGCTAGAAACGGAAAGGGAGGTTTATATTGACATTAAGCACACCAAACACACTAAACATCCAATAAACATCTATACATAATCAACATAGCCAGGACTTAAAAAAAAACATAGCACATTCTTCAAACCAGAGTTTGACCCAAGAGAGTAATCCAATTTAGTGTTCAACTATGATAGTATTGAGGTGACGGATTACACTTCTTGAGTTAACAAAAAGACTCTCGTGATCACACCAGGGTTACTTCCCTCCCCAAATACTACACAGTCATGGCCTCATTTTTCAGCGTAGTGTTCATCAGCTGCTTCACTTTTGTTCTTCTCTTTCCTGGTACTCACCTTCTCATTCTTCATTTTCTCCTCCCCGGAAGTGTGTAGTATCCGATTGGTTTGCGGAGGTTTAGATCTGAGCACCGGTCTCTTTGGCGTAGCACAACTTTTGATCAGAATTCAACGGAGAGACAAAAGAAAAAAAGTCAAGAAATATTCTTCAAATTAAATAAATATAATGAAGGTAGAAAGCAAGAGAGACAGAGGCGATGCAACAGTTACTGCTTGATCTCTTTCTGCCTCGGGTTTAGGGGGCGAGGATCAAAATTTTATTTTGTTAGTACTGAAATGACCGAACGGATTCAGTTTTAGTGAACTGTTTCGACTGTTTCGACCGATATCAAAGTTACCAATTATGACTTATTCTAAAAAACACGTAAAAACGAAAATTTGAACCTTAGGATGAGGCAGGCAGGAGGGAGAAAAACACATCAGAAAAAAGCTTACACTATGATATTTCGGAGGTGGTGGGGCTTGGAAGTCGGCATGAGGAGGAAAGTATTTGGAATGAAGCTGCTTGCTTGAGCCATTGAGCAGCAAACTATTCTCAGAAACTCAAGTAGTTTAGAGAGAGAATGAGACACAGAAGGATTATAGAGAAATGCCGATTTATATAGAAGTCTTGGCACTTTTTTTTTTTTTTTTTTGGGGATTGGTGGCCTTTGCAAAGTGAACGTGTAATTAAAGACACCTCTATATTGGATAGTTGTGGGCTCGTTTTGCTTGGTTCATGATGGGAGATATATTTATTTAAACTACCAACCTTTGGAGAAAATATATATATATATATATATTTATGTTGGTGGGTCTCTGCGATGCATAAAATTTATACGTAATTTCCTCCCTCTTTCTCTCGTTTCTCTCTCTCCTCCTCTCTCTCTCTCTCTCCCCCATACCCACCCTTTGAGAATTGAGATTTAAAAAAAAAAATTGTTTGAAGTTAGGGTGATGGAGATCGATAAAAATTAGGACTATAAAAATTAGGGCTAATTGTATTGAAGTTTGTCTCATTTTGATCTATAATATTTTAATTGCATTATTTTAGTCCCTGAAATATTAAATATGTTTCTATGTGATCCATCAAGCAGACAATATATAAATTGTTAGCAGTTTTTTTTATCATAAATTTGTCATGTTATACCTAAATATAGACAAAAAATATATTTGATAGTTTTTGACCAAAATTTAGGTAACTCTTGACAAAAAATGTATAATACGAGTAGTTTTTGACCAAAATTTAGATAGTTCATAATCAAAATTGTATAATTTAGATAGTCATTTAACCAAATTTTGGAAAGAAATTTGATCAAGAGTTATTTAAATTATTATTTTGTCCATATTTAAGTATTACGTAACAAATTTATAACAAAAAATTGTTACCAATATAGATCTTGTCTATTTGAAGGACCACATAGAAATATATTAAATATTTAAAAAATTAAAATGATGCAATTAAAATATTGAAGACTAAAATGAGTGGTTATGTCATGTGGTAAAATGAGATTGAAATAAATTTTAAATTGTATTTCCAATTCTTTCCCCAAAACACAGTTGGTCAAGGGCGGAGCCACCCTTGGGCTAGGGTGGGCACATGCCCCCCTCAATTTTTTTCCCTTTTTATTAGACATGTATTTTTTGAAATAAAATTTAGAGATATTTAATTGTGTGCACTCTAATATTGTGTGCTTGTGATATAAATTTGAATAGATCCCTAACTAAATAATTGTTAATTTTTTGAACAATATTATTATATACATTGTGATATTAAGTTTAATAGTGAGTCTTAATATTTAATAAACTCTACCATCTATTCAATGATCACAAACCATTGTGTCGCCGCCAATTAAATATCAAATTAGATGGAACTAATATTATTGTTAGCTAAATGACACACTTTAGACATGTTCGAATATTTTTTAAACATATTGAGGTTATTTTATATATTTTTTAAAATTTTAGGGATATTTCATTATCTATACTACTTCAAAAAGTAAACATATTTGAAAAACATTTTTTTTTCACTTTTGTCCTCCAAAGTCACATTTCATTTTTATCTCTCAATATTAAAGCCAAAATAAACCTAAGCCTAGTAATGCTCCGAAAAAAAAAAAACTTGCACCTCCTAATTTTCTCTCTCCCCTATCATTTCATCTTCCCCACTCCAAATAAACATTTCTCTCTCTTCTTTACCTCTTTTGAAAACCTTTGATGTTCCCTTTTTTCTCCTTTCTTCTCTTCTCTCAGCATGCGTTACTCCACGCATTTAATTATGTCTGCATCTCAACGTTTGGTGCATTTCTACCTTTTGTGATATTGTTTTTCCACTTATATTTATTATAATTTATTTTTTTTTGCGAATTCATACCGGATTTTATGATACCAACAAAATTGAATTTTCACAAAAAAAGCAGACACAAACACACCATGTGTATTAGCATCAAAATGAATAATTAGAATTTGGTTACCATTAAAAAGTTTAATAAATTGCTTCATCAGCCAATTTGCTGGTTTAACTATTGGTCTGAGCCCATCCAAAATTTTTAAGAATTTTAGATCTATGCATCATTATTTATTTGTTATACATATGAATTGTTGTCCTTGATTGTTTTAATTTGTATTATGATAATTAATTGCTTGTATTTGATCTGACCTCCACTATGCAATGGAGTCATCAGTTTACGGATCTACAATAAAATATAGGTTTTGATATTTGTAAGATGCCTAAAAATTATTTTACTAATTTAAAAAGGTTTATATGCAACACACATGAGCATTGCCTTCTTAAAAATTTTAGTATGGTCATTTAACAATAATTTGATCAAGCAATATTTTATTATAAAAGTAGTAAATAAAAATTATAATACCTCAAAATAATCCACGTACAACGCACGTGTGCACGAACTAGTTGAATAAAAATATGTATCATTATGTAGTAAACTATAGAATTATAAATGAAAATTTGTTACTATGATTTTATATATAAAAGAAATATTGTTGATAATATTGATTTGTAACTCTTTCAAATAATAAAAACATATATCAGTGTCAATTCTAAGTGATAATAATTAGTCGCATTCTTGATAAAAGTATCTAATTTTTTTTTTTGTTCATATTATGTATATAGGTTTTTAATCTTCTATGTCTATTGAACTTTTAAAAATTAAAATATCAATAAATATGAATTTAACAATTTTTACGATCAATTAAAAAAAATTTAAAACGTACTAATGAGTCCACTCTAAATTTTTTTTCTAGTTCCGCCCCTGCGGTTGGTATATATATATATATATCATAAACATAATTTTTTTTTTTAACGGTCAAGAATGTTCGAATCAGTTTATGCGCACCTCGATTAATTCTTTCTCCAATTCAATTAAAAACAAATCATCTACGCCGGGACTAGAGTATTCATGAAACATAAATCCCACATAGCCTATATTATTATTATTTTGGAAGGAAAAGAAAGACTTAAACCTTAATCTCAAGAAAATAAAGTCTTTATTTACTAAAAAATATCATTATACTGATGACCCATCTGGCATTGCCTATATTATAAATGTAGTTGTCAACCTAGAAAAAATAGATGGATACACATTTTACTTTTCATTTAGGATCACATGTATTACTAGAGTTTTGGACATACAACTGTCATCTTTTTGCGTGGGATGGTTTGTTAGATAGGAAAATTGTCTGAGTCATGTGTATCTTTGGATTCATCGTTATAACGTGAATATGTGAATCACATGTATTGATTAAACCCGAGATTTTATGGTACAAGAAGACTTTACATGTTGATGGGACTTTTTTTTTTATCAACCTACAATGGACACAACTGATATCACTATTGTCGGATCATCTACCATTAACAAGCGAGTGACTCTCTTAGATACAAGAGATCCCACTTAACTATATAATAAACGATTCATCTAAAAAATAAATTAAATAGATAATACATTAGAGGAGATTTTACTTCATTAATAAGTGAGAGATCTGTTTATATACAATAAAATATACTTAAATTCAAGATAAATAAAAAAATAAACATTCGAAGGATTTGAATCCTAGTGAAATGACAAAAAGCGGAAAAGTCTACGGTATTAAAAACATATCAAAAGTTAATTTTTTATGGTAAAATTACATCTTTAAAAGGAAAAATTATAATTGTTCAAGGGAAGGAAGGCCGTGATCGATCAATCATTTATAATTAAACTGTCTGCCAATTCTAGATTTCTAATCTCTATCTTTATTTATTTATTTATATTTGTCATTTTTACAATGGATGTGGGGTCTAGCTTTGAATAATTGAGGGCTTTAATAATGGAAAAATTGCATATAAAGTCTACAAAACACGTGGTAAACCTTGGCCGGCGACTTGACTTGACCACTACACTCCAATAATGCAAGATGGACACGAGACAAATAAATAAAGAAGGCAATAAAAATAAACTTGTGTATGACCTAATCAAACGAGACAACTCATTATTCCTCTGTTTTTTTTTCCATAGACAACTCACTTTCACTAGGATTCTCAATCCATCGGATTTGGATTGAATTGATTTATATTTAAATTTGAATCTGATCAAGTTTTTATCGATCCAATTATCTAACAGATTTGAAAAATTCAATCCATGTTCGAATCCGTTAATTTTCGAATATCCAATTCAAAAATTCAATCCGATTTGATTATCACAAAAAAACACGTGTACTTAAAAAAATTAACAATATAAATTTAGATCATGACATTTTTTAGTATAAGTATAATATATGTGTGATATTTATTTACATAATATATTTTTTATTCGGATCAGATTAATAACATATCAAATTATTATAAATTTATATTTGAATTTGTTTAGATAATTTTAATCGGATTCGAATCGAATTAATGGATTAAAAATCTGATCACTATCCTCTTAAACAAATTCAAATTCATAACAAATTTGAATTAAAATCTATCCATTAAAAGACCTAATTGTCACCGATCTAAAAAGATCACGTACACATGCAGCACACATATATCAAGACTGGAATCTATTTGTTTAAGCTTTTTGTGAGTCAATATGGGAGTTTTGTTTGCGTCGGTGAGTGTGTGTGTGTGTGTGTGTGAGAGAGAGAGAGAGAGAGAGATATGGTCTAAATTTACAATGGTCACCATCATTATTGTTGCTACTATCTACGTTCCACTGCCACCACTATTATTTTCATCCCCCGCCCCGCCCTCGCCCCCACTACTATCAGTTTTGTCACCACCACTATTGCCACGGTCACAACTATCAATTTCAATTTCACTGTAGAAATTACCATCTTTACCACTATTCCCGTCATTCCCAACACAACTAATGTGAATGTGTATATGCATGTATTAGCATTTGAGAGCATATTCGTAATTGTGACAAAAATAAGTATTTATATTGACCATACATGCACATTTTTATGAAATGCTTTTTAATTATGTGTTCTTTTTTTCTTTTTCTTTTTCTTTTTTGTGAACCTCCAAACACTTTTTTTTACCAAATACTTTGGTTAAGTAATCATTTCAATTCCGTTCCCTGTTTAAAAAAAATAATCATTTCAAAATTATTTTTTGAATTCAATTAAAAT